AAAAAAAAAAAAAAAAAAATTTGAGAAACAAAGGCCATAAAAACCATACAGGAAATAAAAGAAAAAACCTAACAAACAAATGGCAGCAATCAGTTGCATCTTCACCCCCGACTTCTTCTACGTGTTGGTATTCCATAATTTTTCCTTTATAATCTTAAGGCTTGCTAAGCAGATTCTCATTTTGCTCAAGTTCTTTTCTACTAATGAGGATATGATGTACAAAATTTGCAATATAGAAAACAGCCCTTGGTTTTTTCCTAAAACAAATTGCAGTAAATCAGGAAATATCTGAAGTTGATAGCTCCAAGTGCAGCAAAATGGACGAACATTATAAACAAAAACAATTGCTTAGGAAGACAAATACCTAAAAAAAGTGGATTCTGCTTCAGTAGCAACAGCTTTGGCCAAGTAAGACTTTCCTGTCCCGGGAGGACCATATAGAAGAAAAGCTCTCCATGGCCGCCTCTTGCCTGAAGGGACATGAGAAAGAGAAAACAACACGCAAATTATGATGATTAGGTGATGCACCCGTAGCAAAACTACTCAACCATCTCTAACGTACCACAAAAAGAAAACGAACATAATTACTCACAATTTCCCTGCCTTAATGATTTTTATCCCACCATTACTTTTTTGGATGAGCTGTAACATGAATCCTCAGAGCAACTATAAAGCAAAACTTTAAAATATGGGATTCGCAGTTCATCTCTCATACTCCAAGCTATTACACGGTCAAATTGATGATACCTATCAAGCTTCCATGTCCAAAGCATTTAGAGAGTACAACAAATAGCTCATCCACAAAATCACTAATCCACAGGCAAAACTGGCACTTTGTGATCCTCAAATTGAAAGGGTTTAAAATGTACAATAGGTAAACAGTCAAACTTACTTCTTCCATTGGTAGTTAACAACTAGGAACTAGTGGAACCCATGTAACCCCAATTTTGACATAAGTTAAAAGCATTGTTACTTATGTGGAGAGGAGGCAGAAACAATTAGTCATCTCTTTTTGCATTGCAAGTTGACTGTACAATTATGGAGAATTTTCATCAACTTAAGGGGAATTTATGGGCAATGCCAGGAAGAATACTTGAAGTTCTACCTTGCTGGAATAAAGAGGGTAATCTTTCTAGACATAAAGAGAGATGGAGAATTGTCCCAACCTGCATATGGTGGACAATCTGGGAAGAGAGAAATCAGAGATGCTTTGAAGACAAGTTCAGTAACATCCAGAAGATGAAGATGAAATGTCTAGCTCTTTTCTATTTTTGGAGTAAAGGAAAGTTTTTGGAGGATCATGAATCCATTTTTGATGTTCTAGAATCCTTGTGAGAAGACCAAGGATTATAAGTGTTTTGACTCTCTTTTGTAATTATGGGTGACTTCACAATTTTAGTGAAGTCTATATACTAATATACAAATATGTTACCTTCTCAAAAAAAAATCTTTCTAAAATCAAGACTTCTCTTCCCAGAATCTCAAGAGTATCCAATCATTCAATGTATAGCAATAAGGGGTAAAGGAAAAACAATAGCAGCATAAATTCGGCATAACTGATACAATGTTTGGTTTGCAATACAATACTCTGTATAACTACCTGTAATTTTCACCGCATAATAAGTACTATAATCCCTCTACTACCAATCTACGTCAAACCACGCCTAACATCTTAAAGCTACTTCCTTTACCACAAGATAATAAACCTCTCAAAACTACTTTAGAATCACAAGAAAACCATAAATCAAATCTTTACTAACAGGCAAAAACACAAATAAATCCAACAAGACCAAACACACACACACACACGCACACCTGTAAAGAACTGAGGGAACTTGACAGGCAAAATAACAGCTTCCTGCAACGCCTGTTTAGCACTTTCCAATCCAGCAACATCATTCCACTTCACATTAGGCTTCTCCCTAATAATCGCCGAATTAAGCCCAGCTCTAAGCTTATCTTTCTCAGGATCCTCCCCCCCACCATCTTCACCACCATCTTTGGGCTTAGTCTTGGGCTTAGCAACCACAGCTCCATCACCTCCATTTGAACCAGGCCCACTTCCACCACCTTCATCTAGCACGGCCCGAATCTCCTCGGCCCGGCGCAAGTACTCTGTAAACTTCTGAGTAATTGCTTCCTTAATCTTAGGGTTTTTCTCGTACTTCAAATGAGTTTTAAAGTACTCTAGAGCATTCATATATAAAGGAAATGCCTTCGCATAGTTTTCAGCATTGTCTTCTTGTACTGCTTGCCTAACGTACTCTATTGCTTGCTCTTTAAAATTGCTATACATCTTCGATCATATAGAAAACCACAATAATTTTCCAAAAGAAAGTTTATGGGTTTTGGTCAGAACTCAAAAGGGTATCTGAAAAAAAAAAATGATTTTGAAATTGGAACCCTAAAAGTTGGGATCTTTTTTTGATTTGATCAGAGCTGAGAACAGTGTTTGAGTAATTGATCTTTTTGTAATTTCTGAAGTTTTTGAGCATTTTTTCCTTTTTTTGTGTTTAAAGAAAGATTAGAGATAGAAGGTAATAGGAAAATGGATTATGGAAGAAGAAAACATTTTTGAAAGAATCCAAAATTCAGAGTTTGAACGTTGAATTATAGCAGAGTGGGTTTGGGTTCTTATTCGGGGAAAAGTTTATGGGAAGTACGCGTGAGACTCACGTGCGTGTTAAGGAAACAATAACTTTATTTATTGCGGTATGGCATCGTAAAATTTTGAAAATTATTGGAATCACTTCGAGCTTTTTTGGTAACATTTGAAACCATATTCGTATTTGTTACTAGAAAAGTTAAAGAGAAAACAATTAAAGAAGTAAGTACATATTTAGAAAAGGCTTTTGAGTTTTGAGGTTTTTTAGTTTGAGAATTTACTATGGGTTAACTTTTGAATATTTAAGTAGGTCAAACTCATAAATGGCCCCTTTAAATTGACTCCGTTTTTTATTTTGGCACCTCTACTCAGACCTTTTTCATTTTGACGCTTCAACCCCTTATCTCATGTGTCATTTAAACACAAAACACTAACATGTGCTTTAACTTAGGCGCGTGTTCATAACCGCTGCCCACATGTAAAGTTAACGAATTACTTTCTGCCACTTGGGTTAATTATCCACGTAACTCCCTACCGGAAATATGATCTTGTACCATATAAATAACTCGCCCCCGTGAAAATAACCCGCACCCACTTAAGTAAAATAACCCACACCCACTTAATTTTCCATATGCACACATCGTCTCTCTCACCCCGCTAAACCAAAATCCCAAGCCCTAGGAGATGAAACCATGGATTCTCAGTCATTGTCCGTTCATTTGAAGGCTAGATAATCCAAAATTCGTCCGAAATTTCATCTGTACTACATTGCATTCAGTTTTTGTTTGGATCGATTCTTACAGTGGACCTTCATTGTTTGCTTTACATATCACTAGTGTTCTAGTTCGTGCTTTACAATACTGGCAAGTGTCGATTTACCTATTTTAATAGTGTATTTATAGTATATTTTGGGTTTTGTTGTTACGATGGTATTTTTGAAATTTCAGATGGAAAATTACGGTTTTCATTTGTGAATCCTCTGACGTGTGTCTTTCTTTTGCCTTTTTTCTTCTTATTGTAGGGTAAAATCGAAGACATGTCAGAAATATATTCTTTTCCGTTTTCATCACGGTGGAGTTTTTACCGAAGCTCCTGTCGCCAAATACATTTGTGAGGTAAAAGAGTTTCATATAGATAAGGACTATTTATCCTTGTTTGAGCTTGAGGGTATGTTTATGTTAAGGGTTTTTATGTATTTAATTCTAGGTCAGAAAAGTTTGAACACATTGAAAATGATGAACAATTGTATAATATTGGCTGTCATTGCAAAGAGGGGGTATTAGACTTATTTGTTTATCATGTTATTGGGGACCCCATTTGGAGGCGGTCCCAATTGCTCTTATCTGTGGGCCATAGGTGGTTGAAATAATTAATAACTCATTGCATGATGAGAATAGGGCAGAACAATATGCTGAACAGGTTGTGGAGGCTACAGTAAATACAGCTGTAGAAAACATTCAAATTGAAAATGGAGAGAGAGATTTAGATGCTGGTGGTGAAAATACAGAGGTGGATTTATCAGATTTGTTGTCTAGTGACACTGATTTAGATGATATACCTGAGGAATATGATAGTCAGTTAGATGAGGAATTAATAGCAATAAGGAAAGAAAGAAGAAGGAAGATTCTGGAGAAAGAAAAGATGAAAGAAAAGCTAAAGAAGAAGAAGAAGAAGAAGAAACCTACTCCAACTGATGAGATTGAGCTAGGGGAAGCTGGAGCACACATAGGTTTTGATGACATTGAAAGGACAAGTAAGAGAGACAAATATACTGAAAAATTGGGGAGGGGGTGGTGAGGATTACTATGATAGTAGTGATATAAGAAGTGATGATAGTCAAGATGAGCTAGATGTGCTAGTTGAACTTGGTATTGACTTACCAGCTAGAAGGAGTAGTAAGAAGCTCAGGTTTGACCTAGACTGTTGGTTGGCTATTTTTGAACTTGGTATGGTCTTTGAAGGTGTTGTTGAGTTTAGGAAGGCTGTTCAATCCTATGCTGTTGAAAACAAAGTGCAGCTCACACTTAAGCCTAATGAGAAACATATAGTTAAGTACAAAAGTAAGGGTTTGTGCAAATGGAAGCTACATGCAAGCACATATAGAGATTCTGGTGATTTTATGGTGAAAAAGTATCATCCATGGCATGAGTGTACCACCAAAAATAAGAACATGTTGTGCACTTCTAAGTACATTGCTCATAAATTTAAGGATAGAATAGTTTCACAACCAAACATTAAATTGTGGGAGATTCAAGATTGGGTTAGGAAGAAGCTTGTTTTGTATATTGGGAGGACTATAGCATACAGAGTTAAGTCTATTGTAATGCAGGAGTTCATGGAGGACTGGAAACTAGAATTTTTCAAATTAGCTGACTATGCTGACACAACTAGGAGGACAAATCCAGGGAGTTCTTGCTGGATAAGAATTGATAGTGACACTGTACCAGGGAAGCACTTATTTGTCTACTTTTATGTATGTTTTGATGCTCTTAAAAAGGGATGGTTAGAAGGGTGCAGGGGAATCAGTGGCTTTGATGGATACTTCTTGAAGGGGTTATATAAAGGTGAATTGTTGGTAGCAGTTGGAAAAAATAGGAACAGTCAGATATTTCTAATAGCATGGGCAGTTGTGGATCAAGAGACAAAACATTCTTGAACTTGGTTCATACAATATCTAGCTGTTGACTTGGAGCTAGGAGATGGTACAAACTTAACAGTTATGTCAGATAGTCAAAAGGTACATTCTATTTGATTACTTTATTTGTTCATCATAATTTTGTCTATTATTTTGTATTTATAAATGAAACTAAACTAGAACTTGTATTCTTATTGCAGGGATTAATTCCAGTAATTTAGGACTATCTACCCAAGGCAGAGCATAGGATGTGTGCTAGGCATATATGGTCCAACTGGGCTAAAAAGAAAAGGTGAAGAAAGAAGGATACAATTTTGGAGATATGCCAAGTCATCATTTGTTGTCCAGTTTAAAGATGAGCTTGCAAGGTTGTAATTGCTAGGGAGAAACATATGTGAGGATGTACTAGATTACAACAAAGAGCTATGGGTAAGGGCTTATTTTAGTGATGTGTCTAAGTGTGATGTTGTTGAAAATAATATGTGTGAAACATTTAATTCCTGGATAGTAGGACCTAGGCATAAGTCAATTATATCTATGTAAGAAGAAATAAGGTGCAAAATCATGACTAGGCATGTTGATATGAGGAGATTTGCTGAGACATGGATAACAAATATATCCCCAATAGCAAGAATGACATTAGAAGAAAATAAAGAGGCCTCTAGGAGATGTAAAGTTCTTTGGAATGGGGACGATGGATTTGAGATTAGTGATGGTGATATTAGGCATGTTGTTGATCTAAAATGGAAGACTTGCTGTCACGACCCGAAATTCTCGCCTTCGAGATCGGATGACGCCTAACATTTTACTTGCTAGGTAAGCCAATGTTAGAATAATTTAAACCATTTTTAACAATCCGTTTTAATTAATAGTAAAGAAACCAACAAGCGGAATAATATCTGAATTTTAAATGAACAAACCAAAATAATAACGATATCTAAATACCATCCCAGAACTGAAGTCACAAGTGCACGAGCCTCTAGAATAATACAAATAATGGTCTAAATAAAAACAAAGCTATCTGAAAGAAAGCACACAACTAAAATAAAGTAGAAGGGGACTTTAGAGCTGCGAACGCCGTGCAACTATACCTCAAGTCTCCACTGATAGCTGAATCCGAGCAAAATCTATAGTACGCCGCAGGGACCAACTCCGAAATCTGCACAAGAAGTGCAGAGTGTAGTATGAATATAACCGACCACATGTACTCTGTAAGTACCGAGCCTAATCTCGACGAAGTAGTGACGAAGCTAAGGCAGGTCACTTACATTAACCTGTACGCAAAAATAATAATAATAATAATAATAATAATAATAATAATAATAATAACATGAATAGAAGTAAGACAGGTAAATCATATCAATAATTGAAATTATTTTAGCAGTTATAACCAATTATTTCTTTTCTCATTCTGTTGCAACGTGCAACCCGTTTCTCCCAATATAATCCTTCAATTAAATTCCATTGCGGCGTGCAATCCGCTCGAACAATATAAACTTAAAATATAATCTGTTGCAGCGTGCAACCCGATCCCCCAATATATTCATTTTTATCTCCATTGCGGCGTGCAAGCCGCTCCAACAATATAATTTAACAACTCTTAAATGTAATAAAAATACTCCAATAAATACTACATTCAATAAGAAATTATTAGGCAACAAAGCATACAATATTTATAAATTATTTAGGAAACAAGTAATGACAAGTAGCAATTAATTGTAGAAATCAGGGAGAAAATAGTCAATTTATTATCTAATATACTAAATGTCAAGTAGCAATTAAGTCACATAAGTCCAATAAGCATGTAGCAATTATAGCATGAATTCAAGACTTAATATTTGACGAAGAATATGATAGAAACAATTAATATAATAATTAACTCCTGATAAAGAAAATAATTTATGATTTCCAGATAAATATGCAAACAATCAATTTGACGACATATAGGCACTCACCATCTCGCCTATACGTTATTACACATGAAATTCACGTAACAAATAATTCAAGGGTTCTATTCCCTCAAGTCAAGGTTAACCACGATACTTACCTTGTTCCATAATTTCAAATGATTACTCGACCACAACTTTTCCTTTCGAATTATTCTCCAAACTAATCAAACCTAGCAAATTATTTACCAACAATTCAATTTGAGCTTTAGAAATTATTCGCAATTTGAAAGATATTTAATTTAAGTCAAAGTCAACCAAAAGTCAATGTGAGACCCACTTTTTGAAAACCCAATGAAAAATTACGAAATCCGTACACCTGTTCTGATACAAGTTCAACCATACAAAAATTATCGAATTTTGACATCGGATTGTCCTTCGAATCCTAAAATTATGGTTTATGAAGTTTCTATAATTTTTCTCAAATTTTCATCTCAAAATGCTAATTGAATGATGAAAACAATGATATATTCATGTATATTAACCAAATCAGAGTTAGAATCACTTACCCCGATGAATTTCTTGAAAAACCCACGAAATATCGCCACAAACCGAGCTCTCTATGTCCAAAAATAAAAAATGAGATGAAACCCTCATTTATACGGTACCACATCTGATCTCCCAATATGCTGACCGCACATTATTTTTGTGCGGTCCGCACATCTCAGCTTTGCACTACTAGGATTCAATAAATTGACCATAACTTTCTCTACAAATGTCCAAATGATTAATGGTATACCTTTCTGAAAACTAGACCCAAAGTGCTACAACTTTTGTTTTTGAATCATCTCCAAATTATTTGTAAATTTAAAGATATAAGCTTACGAAGTCGGACCATCGAACCTGCAAAATCTCCTTTCTGCAACCGCGAGAGGAATTATGCGGACCGCACAATTTCAACTGCGGTCCGCACATTTTCAACTGCGGTCCGCACAATTACCACTGCCTCCACACTTTGGAAGTTCGCGACCGCACATCCGCACTCCAAATTGTGCCTTCCGCACTCCAAAATGTGCCTTCCGCACTTCAACTATTCCAGAACATCATCAGAGTGCCGAAATGCCCAAACTCGTTCAAAACTCACCCTAAAACTCACCCAAGCCACTCGGGATCCCGTTCAAATATACCAACTAGTCCCGTAACATAACGCAGATCTACTCAAAGTCTCAAATCACATCAAACAACGTCAAAACTATAATTCGCACCTCGATTCGGACTTTTGAGTTTATGAAATTTTTAATTATATAACTCATGCCGAAACATGGCAATTCAATCTGGAATAACCTCAAATTTTACAGGTAATTCCCAAATGACATAACGGAGCTATTCCAACTCTCAGAATCTCAATCCGAGTCAGATATTGGTAAAGTCAAATTCACTGTCAAACTTTGGAAATCTTTAGCCTTTAGATTTTTAGTTTACGTTAAATGGCTATAATTTGAGCTAGGGACCTCCGAATTCGATTCCGGGCATACGCCCAAGTCCCAAATCACGATACGGACCTACCAGAACTATCAAAATATTTATCCGGATTTGTTTGCTCAAAACGTTGACCGAAATCAACTCAGTTGAGTTTTAAAGCTCTATTTCACATTTTAATCAATGTTTCACATAAAAACTTTCCAGAAAAATTTACGGACTGTGCACGTAAGTCGAGGAATACTAAAAGGTGCTATTTGAGATTTTAGAACATAGAAATAATTAATAATTTAAATATGACCTATCGGTTCATCACATTCTCCACTTCTAAAATAAACGTTCGTCCTCGAACGGAATTAGAAAAGTACCTGGACTGGTGAAAAGGTGTGGATATCTACTCTGCATGTCCGACTCGGACTCCCAGGTAGCTGCCTCAATCGACTTATCTTTCTATTGCACCCGAACTGAAGGATAATTCTTAGACCTCAACTGTCAGACCTGCCGGGCTAGAATAGCTACCGGCTCCTCCTCATAAGTCAAATCCTTGTCCAATTGGACTGAGCTGAAATATAATACATAGGAAGAATCATCATGATATTTCTGGAGTATAGACACATGGAACACTGGATGAACTATTGATAAACTAGGTGGCAATGCAAGCCTATACGCTACTTCACCCACCCTTTCAAGAATCTCAAAGGGTCCAATATACCTAGGGCTCAACTTTCCCTTCTTTCCGAATCTCATTACACCTTTCATAGGTGAAACCCAGAGCAATACTCTTTCTCCAGCCATGAATGCAACATCACGAACTTTATGGTCGGCATAACTCTTTTGCCTAGACTGAGTTGTGCGAAGTCGATCCTGAATAATCTTGACCTTATCGAAGGCATCATATACCAAATCGGTACCCAACAACCGAGCCTCTCCCGGTTCAAACCAGCCAACTGGCAAACGACATCGCCTCCCGTATAATGCTTCATATGGAGCCATCTGAATGCTCGACTGGTAGCTGTTATTATAGGCAAACTCTACAAGTGGCAAGAACTGATCCCAAGAACCTCCAAAGTCTATAACACAAGCGCGAAACATATCTTCCAATATCTGAATAGTGCGTTTGACTGTCCGTCTGTCTGTGGATGAAATATTGTACTCAACTCAACCCGCTGCCTAACTCATGCTGTACAACCCTCCAGAAGTGCGAGGTGAACTACGTACCTTGATAAGAAATGATAGACACGGGCACACCGTAAAGGCGGACAATCTCGCGGATGTAAATCTCCGCTAACCGCTCTGAAGAATCAGTAACTGCTACTGGAATGAAATGTGCTGACTTGATCAACCTGTCCACAATGACCCATACTACATCAAACTTTCTCTGAGTCCGTGGGAGCCCAACAACAAAATTCATAGTGATACGCTCCCACTTCCACTCAGGAATTTCTAACTTCTGAAGCAAACCACCAGGTCTCTGATGGTCGTACTTGACTTGCTGACAATTTAGATACCGAGCTACATATGCAACTATATCTTTTTTCATTCTCCTCCACCAATAATGTTGTCACAAATCTTGATACATTTTGGCGGCACCTGGATGAATAGAATACCAGAAACTGTGGGCTTCTTCAAGAATTAATTCACGATGCTCATCCACAT